TTAATTGATACATTAGATATCATTTGCACCTTTTTACAAAGGTGTGTTGAACTAAGAATCTGGTGTTTCCTTCAGGCTGTAGATCTGCTGAATATGCAAATGGTTCCATAACTTCATATTCTTATTTTCTCTTCTCTCTACTGCGTTAAGCTTTAACCCTTTCCTATACCAACTGTATGTGTGTGTGTGTGTGTGTGTGTGTGTATGTGTATGTTGGACCAGTTTAAGTGTTTATGTAGTATGTTGGACTAGTTTAAGTGTTTATGTAGTTAATAAAGTCTTATTTGTATCACACTTGACGTTGTTCATTGTTTACTCATAACTGGAGTCACTTAATCATGCAGATTTATGCTACAAGCTCTTTGTAGAATTGTACAGTAAGAAAGTTATTTCCCTTAACCAGGAAATTAACGTTCTTAGAATTGACAGACAGTTGACCCTGAGAGGTCAGCTAAATATCTACAGTGGATCTAAATATTTATAATTAATTATAACTAGTTATGATTAATTAATCATATTTCCCCATGAGCTGATTCGCAACACTTGTTAAAAACATTATGTCACAAATACGATATGTTTACATTTCTGGTCACTAAATAAATGGGCAGTTTAGTCTCTATCCAGGCAAGGAAGACAGTGGAAGAGCCCGTGGAGAGCATGAATGCCTCATTAATGCAATGGTTCAAAGACCTGCAGGTTCTGTGTGTGTGTGTGTGTGTGTGCGCTCAGAGAAGGTGTTAAGTAATGCTGATATTAAGTAATATTTACAGAGTGCAAATGAATGAGACCAAATCCAACACACACACACACACACACACACACACACAAAACCACAATTTCATAATGTGCATATTATCCCCCCATAAAAACCCAACAAATGCAGTTTACAGTGAGTTTGTCCATGAGATTATCATGCTCTATAAATAGGCCCGCAGATTAAAGACAATCTAGGACCTGTGCTCACATAAACCCTCGGGCTGGACACACACACACACACCATACGGCTCTGGGTTGCGTTCACTGTGTTGATAAAGCTAGCGATTCATTTAGTGAATCAGTTCACTTCAATGGAATGGTTAAAAAATTCACATCTAGTATTTTGTTTCACCACAATGTTTAAGGTGATATTTTTTCCCAGTTTAATGTGGACAGACAACAAATATAAGCTATTCATAGGCTTGCTCTCCCATAATGTATAAACACTATGGAAAGATCAAATCATTGATCTGATTGCAGAGCTCCAGGCTGTGAGTAAAAGGCAACGTTTCGTGGCCATTTTCCTGCTGGTACAACTAAATTTTATTTGAGATGAGAATTCAAAAATTCTCCATTCTTTTTGATTATGCATATGCTGCAGTTTGCTGAACTCTGGCATGAAACTGAACATCCGATTGAACATTGCAGTATGGCGCGATCTGTATTGCCAAAAAAAACAAACAAACAAAAAACAGCAGAGCAGACCCAACTGGATTTAGGCCCAAAACATACTGTGCAAGCTTGATTGCATGTTGTTGCTTTCTGAAATATAACATGTTAGGTGACAATTTATAATGCAAACTGCTTTTGCATGCTATATAGCATAGGAATTATGCATATTTGGATTTGCAATGATATGTTGTGGCAATAATATAATTATTTTGAATTTTTAATGCAGTTTTGCATAAAAATGTCTTAAATGTTTGAACAAAATTGAGTCAAGAAGCAGATTTCAGAAAGTGTGATTGATATTAGAGCCCAACCGATATGGGTTTTTTGGGGGCCGATGTCGATACCGATATTAGGGTGTAAAAAAAGACCGATACCAATATATCTTTTATTTATTCATCAAAAATAAGACAAATTCTATGAAATTCCACGTTATACAGTAAATTCCGTTTTTATGACTGGATTAAAATCAATTTAAATATGTAGAAAATAAATGAGATTTTACTTCCAGAACCCGACAAACTGTCTACATCACACGTGTAGTATGCTAACTCGAACGCTAATTCGAATTCGAGACTGAACACTTGGAGAATCGGTTCGAATGATTCATTAAAAAGAACCGGTTCAAAAGAACAATTCAGTCGGACATCACCAGAACGCGCGCCTGTGCAGCCGTGAGAGGGAACAGAACAGCTGACACACACAAACACGAACAGAGGGGAGTCAAAGGAAACACTATCAAAATTCAGTACTTGTTCCACGCACACACGCTGACTCACAAACAAACACACAGTAGCCTATTTTAACTACACGACCAGGGTCCTGAAATCCGACCCGAAAACCTTCAAATAAGGTCAGCCAAATGGTTGCAGTCCCGTTGCATTGCTTTACACAGACGTCCCTACGTCATTAATTACAATCTAAACGGGACGCTGTGTGCACACGCATTTATCAATTAATCTTTGAGGAAAAAAGCGAGCAATCATAAAACAACGTCCCGCGCGCGAGCCAACATCTGCACACATTTCTCACTCACCCAGAATATGAAATTGAAGACGAACATCAGATACTTGACACACATCTCTCCTCCAGTCAACGCCGCCATCACAGCAGTCTGTTCTCACACACAATGCTGAATGAAAGAGTGAAGGATCCGTCCGTGTCCCAGTGTCTGTGTGACTTTACGCGCGTGTAGACGGAAACCCCCCCGCCAGACTCGAACTCACTGCCTCATCCCTCCGCCAAAGATCAACTTCGCAATCGTTTGCTCGGTGAGGCAAAATCGAGTGTGTCAAGGGTCAAACACTTTTTTTTGCATCGACCCAGTTGCTATTTTTGGAGGTTTAGTGAAAATCGTGCGAACGCTTTATTTAGTTATGGTTGTTGGAGTTTTGCGAGGAATCTTTTTTTTTAACCATTTATTTGATCGTAAAATCCACTCGGTCTTTATTCTCTGGGAATTACGTCACGATGGAATGACGTCAGAGCAGAGCCCAGAGGTTTCTTCCACTGTACCTTATAAGAAATATATTATGTTTGTACGTGCTTCTATCTTAGACACTTTTTCTTTGATGTTAAAGGATGTCTTATTCGGTTTTCAAACCTCTAACAGGAATCTAAAAGACAAGTATTTTCTAATAAATCCATTTATTTTCCTAGATAAGTTTTTTATTCATAAATGCAAATTGTTGTCTGTTAAAACTCTATTTATTATTTTTTGTAAAGACTTGAAATGCTGTTTGGATACTATCTCTTCTTCCAGCAATGTTAAAGCCTTAAAATCCTATGCGTTGTGCACGAAGTATAATACTTATGCTTTTTTATAATGTGCTATTGACTATGTGTTGTATGTATAAGGGAGGCAGGGATTTAGCAAAGGTTGTTTCTCTCTCTCTCTTCTTTTTTATTGAATTTATTTTAAATGATATATTACCACTGGCTTAATGTTTTCTTTTTCTTTGTATATTGTTTATATTATGTCTCTTATTGTTTTTGTTGTAATCTGTTTTGAGCTGTAAATGTGTGTATTTACCTTTATATATGTTCAAAAAAAGAAAAAGAAAAAGGGTTCTTCCACTGATCAGTGGTTTCTCTAAGACATTTTTAAACGTTGCATGTCCTGTGAACTTTATTAGGCTATCTATAGATATGTGGGTGTTAACAGCACCTGCCCACTTTTTGGAAATGAAGATGAATTGAATATTAATGTTCTCTTTCATTGAAATGAAAGAGAAATAATTTCGTTTTACTGAAACACTTCAGGTAGATCATTGTGATTTTGGCCATTTCTTCATTTTAAATGATATGTTATTAGTTTACATTTGTCTCACTGACTTTCTACTCGTCTTCACTTTTAATTTAACCAGACTAATTTCTCATATTAAAAATAAGAAAAATAACAACTGAAGCACCACAGCAGCTCTCATTGACTCACAATTCCCACACACATGAATTCATAATCAAGAATTACAGCATTATTAGAGTCATATGCATCCACACACATTTGAGATCTGATGGATAGAGATCTGGAATGTGCAAATATACATAAATACCCACACACACATATATTGGTAGGGCTGGGTTAGTAGTGTTTATAATTAAGTTTACATCAAAACAAGTCTATATGTCCTCATTTACATTGCTATTAAGTATGGTTGTGAAGGAGAGTGAAAGATCAATAGCATACGCCCCCCCCCCCCA